CCCCAAACTTTTCATTTTGAATATTTCAGGTTTTTTAATTTTTTTAGCACCGTTTTAGTTCTTTAAGTAAAAAAATATATACTTTTCTCTATCCTTTTATTAGTTAATTAAGATGTGGTCTTTAATTCAATCCAAAATGACACTCAATTGAAAGAATGAAGAAAAAAGTCGAATTTGTTAAGAGACCCAAAAATACTGAAAATAGTTCAAAAACCAAAAGCGTTCAAAATGAAATATTTAGGGACAAAATTGGCATTTAATTAACATTTTATCACTTTCCCGCCACATCAGAAGTGCGACCCATGAGATGCCAACTGTCTGCTGAGCAGGTTTTGCCTCCTGGTAACTAAAGAGTGAAGAATAAGTTTATTTGTCTGGCCAAAAAGTGCTTTTTCTTTTCCTATTTACTATTTGATTTTTCCAACAATTTAAATGTCATTGGTGGTCCTTGACATTTTGAAAAGGTAACAACTAGATATTGAACCTTCAAAGATTAACAGCTGAGTCCCCAACATTCGTATATTTTACAAGGGGAGGAGTAACTATTATGATTATTTTGGTCTTCAATTCACTCATAACGTGATTTATTTATCTCAACCTTTTTTGTTCTCACTCCTCCTTTGACATGGAGTTGAGGTGAATGGTTACAAAATATTTACAAGTAGAAATATCTAAATTTAGATGAAAAATACCTTAAAAGTATTATTTTAATAAACTTTTATTGAAAAAACTAAGATAATAATCTTAATAATTTTGACTTGTTTCTATGATTATGGGTTGGAGGAATCTTTGTTTGTCATTTCAGAAATCTTTCTCCGTTAGCGTATTAGACGGTTTGGATTAATATTTTTTATATAGCTAATGACTGAAAGTAAATATCTAACGATTGATAATTATTATTGTATATAATTTAAAATATCTAATCTATTTGATTAGAGCCCACTGCTGATAGTTGTTTGCATAAAAGTAAAACAAACACCCCTATATTTTTGTCTCTAGTTCTTTGCTCTATCTTTGCATATTTGGGAACCATTCTTTTTCGGTCACCTTAATTTCACAACAATTTGTGATCTGCAAGGATGCTAATCATTGTTTCAATTGAATATTAGTCAGGTGTTAGTATTTTTTTTATTTGTTATTGAGAATTAGATGACAATGTAAATATGTCACGAAATTAGGACCCCAAATTACTAATAAAAGCGAGAACATATATAAAACTATATCCTGAAATTTTGCAGATCTTTCTCCTTTTTATTTCTTTTTCTTGGGTTAATAGTATTTAAATTTTAATAACAACTTACTGATTCTAGTAAAAGAAATTCAGTTCTTATTAAATGAAATTTTGTAAATGAAAAAATAAGTACTGAGAGAACCTCTCTCTTATAAGGTCGACATGCCTAAATGTTAAATTAATTAGAGTCTAATGTGACTTTTCGAAATTAGGAGATTAATAGAAAAAAAGTGTTCAAATTCTATTAAAAATTTATGACATTTTTCTTTGTTTTTCCTTTATCTCCCATTTTTCACATTCCCCTTTGTTAAAAAAAAAAATAAAAAATCAGGGCCCTTAACTGTGAAGTATCTCTATTCTCTTGCTAGAGTGAATAATACGACAAACAAGCATTAAAGAGATTGAGTGAAAATACGACAAACAAGCATTAAAGAGATAAAGTGAATAATACGACAAACAAGCATTAAGATGCAGAAAATCGACCATCAACTTTGGGGCTGCTTTTGTTCTTTT